TTATACGTTGAACTGGCCTATGTTCTTCTATACATATTCTCAACAACAAAAACTGTTTCATTATGAAAATAGAGAGGCGCAGTTACCACAGGAGTCCTAACATACGTGGTACTAACCAATGGCCCTTCATTTCATCTAGGCCAAATGCAGCCTGAACACAGGTGGGAACAACAGCTGCATCATCTGTGTTCCCCAGAGTATTTGCAGTAAGTCACAATGAAAAGAAGCTTGTGGGCAGAGTAACGCTGGTTAGAACACTGGTGCTGGATCTGCCCAAGGGAGTCAGATTGAGCTGGCCTGGGGTGCAGGCTCAGCCTGAAATCTGCACGAAACTCCCAGGGAAAGTTCATGTGCAGTGAAGCATCATAACCAACTGAGTCAGAAGACTAGGTTTAACCCTTTAGCTGTCCCATCACTGATTTATCCCACTGTGAGGATAACATCTATAGTTCAGTAGACAACAAAAACTACTTGAGTAACAATTCTGAAAGCAATGTAAGACACAAGAATGGCAGGCACAAGCATAAATTTACTCTTTGCTAAATTTTACATAATAAGTCCTACATTTAATCAAACCTGCTGCCACGAATCGAATCCAACTTTAGTAAGTATAACCTTGCAGGACAGAGAACGGTTTTTCTGAGACTGTATACCTTTAAGAGAGCAGGCAGCCTCATCTTTCTCCTGCAGTTGTCTCCTAATCTTGCAGATTAGCAGACTAGTGTTTAACCCGTCGTGCCAAGTCTTTAAAAACCCAAAGTCCCTCAATGTCGTCAGTCTTGCCTGTTTTGGGATACTCACCACCTAAATTTTGAAATGTACATTGATAGGTACTTGATAAGTGTCATTCTGACAAGGGTTAAGTTATCCTTTTTGTATTAAAAGCCCACCAATGAACTATCATCATGCAAATCTAAACCCAAACCAAGTAAATTAGTATACTGTTGTCAGGTGCTGTCAGGTCAGTTCCAACTCACAGTAAGCCTGAAGGCAACGGAATGAAATGCACCATTCTCATAATCCTTGCTCTGTATTTTCCAAGCGGTTTATATAATCATGAGGCTTGCAAGCCTCGCAGGCACACATGGAATAGGTTGGGCAGGTACTAGAGTAAATTGTCGGCTTAATCTTGGAGATCCCTGAGCTCTCTCCAGAGGAATAATCTATCATCAGTATCTGTGTAGTTACATAAACTGATGTCAATTTGGGACTTGACAGGATTAAGTGTGAAAGGGTGGAGTCTAGTCTGTCAATCGATCATAGCCCATGAGGCCTCTGTGTGGGCATGACGTTCCCCTGAGAATTCTGGGAAATTAAATGAGGAGCTGATACCAAGGGCTCAAGCAGAACGAAATGTTTTGAGAATGAGGATGGCAACAAATGTACGAATGTGTTTGACACAATGGATGGACATGCGGATTGTGATAAGAGTTGTTCGAGCCCCCAATAAAATTATTAAATTAAAAAAAAATTCTGAGAAACCTGATTTCCTCTTGGGAGGCGGGAGAGACTCTCTGCTCACTCCCTTGGAGACACTGTACTGACAAGACAAATGGCACATCACCCAGGACTGGAGAAGCCACATGGACCCATGCTGATGCAACTGGACCTCTGGAGCCGGAGAAGCCACGTAAAGACCCCTGCCAGCACTGAGATGCCCACAACGGCCCTGGGTCCACAATACTTCCAATCCACCGGCCTGTGAACCTCCTGCATTTGGCATCATTGCATGTAGTTCATGAGTCTGAAGAGAATTTTATTATAGATTGGTATCAGACAAATGGGCTAATATTGGCCTTATGGACTTGATCTGGCCTGGGCTAGGACAGTTTCTCAATATTCGATTGCTCTTGTAAATAAACCTCTTTCTTATATACATATGAGTTTCTTATGCATTTGTTTCTCTAGTCTACCCGGACTAACACAGTATCAGAAGGACATCCCCTGCACTTGGGGTGAGGCGGCCAATAGAATCTGATCATTCTTTGATATGGAGAGCCTCTGAATACATAGTGAGCAGCCAGGAGCAAGTAGGAGAAATCCGTAAGTAGCACTTTTTGGGGGGAGGGGCGTATTTTTGGGGACAATTATCAGTCTGGAGAATGTGTATTGGGAGACATCTCTATCTCATAACTGTGGGACCCTCCCCCGCCGACCACCACCACCACCAGAGTCAGTCTACCAAACCCTATGCTTATGAACATAGAGAATTTGGCTGCTTACTTTTTCGTCCAGTTTCTTAGTTTCCCTACTTCTCTATTACAAAAAATAAAGTGAACAAAGCTAAACCACTTTCCCTCAATGATAAACTATTCAAATCTAGCAGACTGCCATTTCTGAGTCAAGAAAGTACAAGCATAAGAGGTGCAGGAGCTCACTAGCAATGGCCCTCCCACAGAAATGAGTCTCCATAGTGACACCAATGGACAGCTGTCTTGCCCAAAGAACTAGATTTCACCCAAGTAGGTGAACGTCACCATAAATGCTAGAGCAGCGGTTCTCAACCTGTGGGTCGAGATCCCTTTGGGGGCCCAACGACCTTTTCACAAGGGTCGCCCAATTCACAACAGTAGCAAAATGACAGTGATGAAGTAGCAATGAAAATAATGTTATGGCTGGGGGTCACCACACATGAGGAACTGTATTAGAGGGTCGCGGCATTGGGAAGGTTGAGAGCCCCTGGGCTAGAGCTTCCTGGGGGCAGGAGAGAAGGGTCCTAATACCAAGCTTCTCCCATCAGAGGCTAATTCTGAAATCTGTAATCACAGATTCTAACAGCGCTTCCGGACGCTAATCAATCATACCACTTGCTGAGAGTGCAAACAAAACTAACCTGCAGGAACCATTTCTTGACTGAAGTTATCTCAATTTTTGTGTTTTAATGTTAACGTGTCCTGTTCGTGTTACCAACAACACTGCTGTTGTTAGCTGCCCTGAGCGGGGCCATGACCCACAGTGTCCCCCGCAAGACAGATGGAAAAACTGCTCAGTCCTGCGCCATCCTGATCCTTCGTGTTTTCACTGGCTGCTTTTCAATCCTCGATAACCGGGCCTTTATTCTGAGACGGTCTTAATCTGGAAGGTCTGCTTCAGAATGACAGCAACACACAAGCCTCCAGGGGTGGGTGGTGGCTGTGCATGAGGTGCTCTGGCCAGGAATCAAACCGAAGTCTCCCACACAGAAAACAAAAACCCTACCATGAACCCATCAATGCCTCAGCGGCAATCCTAGAAAGTAACCGGTGTCAGCTGAAGTCTCCAAGATAAATTGGATTAGTGTCAGAGGACATGACCGAGACCAGGTCTTCATTTTTCAATCAGACATTCCTAGTTGAAACTCCATGAACAGAGGAGCAAAAGGACCATAAACCGGTCAAAGCAAAATCTCACTGCCACGGCGTCGATGACGACTCACTCCTACAGGACAGTCGATGCCGACTCACTCCTACAGGACAGGGTAGAACTGCCCCTGTGGGTCTGACACTATCGCTCTTTACCGGAGTAGAAAGTCCTGTCTTTCTCTTGCAGAGCGGCTGGTGGTTCCAAACTGCTGACCTTACAGTTAGCAGCCCATCGCATTAAAAGGGGTAGATAATTTGATGGATCAGTGAGGGATCATTTCAACCTGAGATGCAGCCAATTAATATGGCCCATCTGGCCAGAATTCCTTATAGGATGTATTATAATTCTGGGCCCTATGCCTGAGACTAGCCTCCCACGGTAGAGGGCATTCTCTGACAAGCTAATAGAAAGGATTAAACCAAACACTAAAAACCTGACTGCCATGAGTTAATTCCAACTCACAGAGACCCTAAGGACAAAGTAGAACTGCCCCTGTGGCAACTGCAGGGCAGTGCATATTTAATGTGGCTCTCTCAGCCAAAGTCTCCAACTCCCACCAAATGACCTCGCCCTATGTGGATCTGGTAAAAATGAGGGGCAAGATACTGATAAGATTCACCTGTGAACAATTCTGAAAAGATTCCCTGGGGTGGCTTCCCGCTGTGTATAAAATGAGCCCACTGAAAGCTGAAGGCAGGATTTCATTACCAGCAAGAGCTAGGAGTGTAACATGACCCTTGGGCCCCAGATCCCTGTTCAGTGAACCTCCTGGACCCAGAAGATGGCTGCAGCATCGGAGTAGCAGCAACAGAACCAGGAGCCAGAACATGGAACAGAGGGATGGATTTCCCACGCCACAGAGCAAGTAAAGCAAAGCTGAGTGCTTTTGTGCAGGAGGCTGGCTTGTGGAGTGGGGTGCCTCTGGGCACTTAATTGAGGAAGTTTTGCTTGCTGATCCAGAGGTGGAGCTGAATGCCTTCCAGAGCTGAGGCTTACTGGAGTAAGGTCTCTCTGGGCACTTAATTCCGAGAGCTGGGTTTGCTTTCCCATGGACATTGAGCTGAATGCCTTTGGACATCAAAGCAGTATGTCCCTATGGGCATGTATGAGCAGACCTGGAAGAATTTTTTAATGTGTCCTGATAAAAACAACTCAACCCTGAGCATTTCCCACTGGCATTACAACTTGTTAACTTCCTTTATAAACAGCTTGGTAATTAATATTGAACCAAGGGTAGGCCCCTGATCATATCAAGTAGGCTCCTAGCAATCTCCCAAATCCCAATCCCTTAACAAAGTCTGCCTTGGGAATAGGATTCATCATGTGCATGCTACTGGTTTCGCCCACTGGGCCATATGCTTTCTCAGCCTGACAGACACCAGGTCCAGTGCCTGTCCTCGTGGAACTCTAAGACATCGGAGCCACCCTATCCCTGGGTAATGATTAACTACCACATAAGACCCCAGATCAGAGAAATTGGAACTAGTGCTATTTACCTTTTATTTCTCCAGCCCGTGCTTTTTTGTAGAGCCCTTTGACGTCTCTCTGCTCACAGACATGCAGAGGCGCATCAACAAACACTTCAAAAAATGGCAAACTTGCACCCTCATGAATCTGCCTTGCATTGTTACGATCCTAAAAGAGAAAAGACAAGCACAGAAATATCATTAAAAAAGGATCGCATGAATAGAAAGTACTATTTATCTTGAGTAAACAAAGGCTCTTTTTTAGTTGAATCGGTGTAGAACATTTTAAACAAAATTTTAATTTTACAAAGAGAAAAAGAAAAAGAAATGCATGAAACTATGAGGTTAACATCTGCCTGCACTTCGCAGTAGCTCTAAAAGCATACTGTTTGGGCTGTTTGGGAAATGTGGGCTACCGGAGCATGGTAAGAGGGGTAACAATAGCTGCCCCATAAAAATGTTCACCGAAATTTTGTGTGGAACTTGAGTTCAGGCCCAACTTGAACTCAGGAGTCACAAAGGCTCTCTAACATCACGCTCAACTTCAGCCCGACCTGCCATGAAGGAAACTTCACAAAAGAGGTACCTTGACAATCCCAAGGGTCGTCAATTCAGTCACCAAATGCAAGCCAACTCTCTTCCCTCGGTTCTGACCTCTCAATCCTGTCCTCTGGAAGAGCTTCCTTCACAAGCCAACCTCTTCTGCCTGCTGGTCATAACTAAAACCAGACTCTCCCTTGAAGGTGATACTCATCGTTCAGTTCACAGGCCCAAGTTCTACGTGGATACCCTGTACACCACGGGGCTACAAGGCAGAATCAATGCTTTCAAAGTTCCTCCCCGCAACTTCTTCCCACGTAGCTCATTGTAAGCATCCGCCACCTTCCTATGATCTCTCTGACAAACCAGGACCATTTCCACGCTGTCTAGACTACCTCACTTCCCATTTCAAAGAGGGAATTCTCTAGTAGACATCAATGCTCCCAGTCTTCCTCTAGCGTATGAGGGGGCTTCAAAAACATGTCGAAAAATGGAATTAAGAGATAATGGGATTTTCCCACAAACTTTTTGAAGCCTTCTCGTAAAATGCTATCTTCATCTCCACCAACCTGATCCTTCTTGTCAAGCCTCCCAGAGCTCTTCCTTCCCCTATGCCAACATGGACCATGCTGTACATGTCCTCCCCTGTAAGAGCCCACTGCCCACCTGATAAGGTCCTTGAGCGTGTTCCTTAGCTACCTCTATAATTGAAACTACAATATAATAAATTTGAACTGTGAACACTCCTTTGAAGTGAAAAAAATGCACTATTTCCAACTCCTTCTAAATATAGCCAACTGGATAGTCCATAGGTACCTCAAACTTGTGTCCAAAAATTTATATCCAAAAGTGAATCCATCTTCTTCTTCCCCCAGCTTGTATTCACGCCTATCCTGCCAGAGCAGGGTATGACCACACCCTTCCCCTGGAATCCTAAGAGCTGTTCTAGTTCTTTCCCTGTACCCTTGAACATTCACTCAGAAAATCCTTTAGATTGTACCTCTAAATCAGGCGTCCTCAAACTACGGCCCGCGGGCCACATGCGGCCTGCTGAGGACATTTATCCGGCCCGCCGGGTGTTTTTGCCCCGTTTGTTTTTTAACTTCAAAATAAGATATGTGCAGTATGCATAAGAATTTTTCAGTTTTTTTTAAAAACTATAATCCGGCCCTCCAACGGGTCTGAGGGACAGTGAACTGGCCCTGTTTAAAAAGTTTGAGGACCCCTGCTCTAAATACTGCACAAGACCAGTTTGGTGTTCTCCCCTACTCCTACGAGCAGCCTCATCTCTCTTCTCTGGAGAAAGC